AACTGGCTTATGTTGAATATTTTCTTTGCCAGCGCGGCGGTTGATTCTGAGCTTAGCGTCGAAAATTTTGTTGCTGTTTTGAAATACTTGGTTTTTTGATATTTTCACTGTAACACCGTTGTTGTTTAGGTGTCGAGCTGAACGACTGTACTCTTCGCCTTTTTTTGTTCTGGCTTCCACATAAAATCTTGCTAGGTTTTGGTCTAATCCCTTACTGTTCATTTTAAGAAGTGGTGTTGTGATGTTTCTTTCCTGACACCAATCTGTGTAAACAATTATTTTGACATTGAGAAAATAATTTTTTTTTCCAAATAAATCAATCTCAGACAACTTTTGCTTATTGAGTTCGTTAATTTCGAAGCAAAGCAATGGCTTCTTACCTTGAAATAATTTCACTACCCATTTTGTGTTTCTTTTAGTCGCGTTCGACTGCGACTGCTCAAGTAGTTTTGTCAAGTCGTTTTCGACAGAGAAACGTGATTTTCTTTCTTTCTCTTGTTTATCGTAACTGTCCACAGCCTCGATAAGACTTTTTTCGAAATTTTCGTTCACCTAGTCAGCTAAAATATCGTCTAAATTTTAAAAACTTTCCGCCATTTTAGAATAACAGAGAGCAAAAGTTTTAATGATGACGTCATCAATGCGTCTGTCCTCCAATAGATCATAAGTGAGAACCAATCAGAATGCGTGCATAACTGAGCTTTTTATATAAATATATATATATATACACACATATATATACACACAATAAAAACCCAAGCGAATTTTTGAACCTCAGACGAGTTTTTTCGGCATAGCCGAGTGAATTTCTGAAATTGTTCAGATATTGAAAGTAGTGAAGCGTTGTATGTCTAATTTCGTTTTGGTGCTCCAGGTCTGATATCCAGCCCACACGAGGGCACAGTACCCTTATAGTCCTCTCTACATTACATTAGGGATCTAGAACATCGAGGTTTAGCTTCGAGAGAAAGTAAGGCCTCAGAATTGCCTCATCATGTATGTATTTCCAGACGTTTAAGATAGAGTCTTCAAAAGTTTGGATTCTTTTCTTAAACTATGTAAATGAACGTAAAAACTCCGGGACAAAATCTTCTCAAACAAAACAAAGATGTAGGTGCCAAAAACACCTTCAAACACTACACTTTGAATATCGCATACTGTCTTTGGATATTATATGATCTGGGATCTGCAGTATAGTTACACGCACTAATCCAGTACCTGAATCGAGTTCTGGCTGAGCGTAGACGATAAGACCCATATGAGAGTTGACTAACGATAGAAACGGTAGAAACATCGAAACGACTAAAATGAAAAGCAATGCATTTTGTCGCTTTTAGAAAACTAAATAGCGATACAAGTGCAACGATTAGTGAGCTTCTTTTCAGTTTTCTTTCTCTCTGAATGGAAAAAAAATAATCCAGGATGATGACGGAAATAGCCTAACCAGCAACTACACAGATAGCTCAGAAAGAAATTAGATAGAATAGGGAACACACGATAGCGTCTCAAAAATAAACACATAACTGCAGCTGCTTGCCATCAGAGGCATTTGAACCACCAATTTGACTGTAGCCGATAACCAAATTATAAATATTTGTTGTTTTTATTGCCACGGGGAAGGCAGAACATCGAGTTTACAAATGGCAAGTATCAAAACATCGGAATCATCATGAGGAGAGAGTACTACCTTTTTTCCACCGCAGTTAGAGTTAAATTAAATACAAATGCAGCAGTAAATAAAAAGAAAATAAATGTCACCGTGTTATTTTATTTTCTAAGGTTTTGTCGGCTGGATCATCTTTCCCGTTTGATATTACATATCTCGAGGTACTAACCAACAGCTTTTAAAAAATTCAACTCTATGATCTTGGAAATAGCGCATCTCCGATAGTATTTTGCAGTATGAATGTGATAAAGTAACGGACTTAGTACAAATCAACGCAAATAGTGAACGTGAGGCTGTCAATAAATGTCTTATTCGAGAGAAAACTTTTAACTTAAGATATGAGATTACAACTGTCTTAATTTCAAAAGGTTAGACCGTCGAATTTGTGATGATACTCATGAAGTTCTGTCCAGTATGTTTGCTTTACTTATGAATTACTTTGCAAGAAAATAAAGTCTTTAATTAAGAAATTATTACCAAATGAAAGATCGACTAAAGAAGGTTTTTAGAGGGAAAAGAAAATTTTGTGGACCATAATTAACAACATTAAAAAAAATGCCTCGTATTTCAATTTTGAAATGTTTGCTAAGCCAGTTGAATTGCCTTCTTCAATGTAAAAGCTTTCAAAACTGCATTCAAGGTTTCTAGAAGCAATTCATCTATTCATCTTCATTTATTTAATATTCAGGTATCGAT